CCAAACCATACCTGGAGGCATTAGATGATATGATCGATGAGGAGGAAGGGGAGTTAGAAGAAGATGATGAAGAAGGACAAGAGGATCAAGAAGAACAAGCGGAAGGGCAAGAAAAACAAGACAATAATAATGAAGACCTCTACAGAAAGTTAATAGAGGATGAATTTAGTGACAGTGATATAGAATAATCAGTATTTATTTTGTAGATTTTTTAAATTTTTATCAATATTTCTTTCACAGATGTATTAATAATTAATAATTAGGTAAATAGAGGATGAGTCTGAAATTGTTTTGATTGTTCTACATTTACAACAGCTTATTTAAATTAACCCAAGCTCAAAGGCTGAAGAAAATATGTCATTACTTTTTTTTTGCTAAATGAACCACAAATCACTGTGTTGTCTGTGAATAGCTTTGTTGGATCTAGATTTAGGGGACAAAATAGTGACAGAACATTTCATCTTTGTTATAAACAGCCATTAACAGTCGTGCATGACTAACTGTTGCCAGCTTCCTTGATTTTCTGGTTAAGAGCCCATTGACCGATTTGTGCGCGCGTTCGCGCGCGTTGCTAAGGAGGTGAAATTTCACTTCCAGTTACTTACGTCAGCCTGAGCGAAGAAAATAAAAGCAACTCAATACCTTGCAAATTCGATTACATTATGCATGTTTTTTTCTTTGTGTTTCACAAATGCAAGAGAAAAAAGTACAAGCAAAGACAAAATAAGAGAAAAACAGAAAAACAGAGCAAAAGAAAGAGAAAAACTAACTCCGTGCCACTTTGTTTGATCGTACCGAAGTGCGCTGTTAGTGTAAATTGCGGACGCGCTAATAGGGTAACTTCCAATAAATATCGGGCGCATGTCCGGTTTCTTTAAATGATAAAGGAAACGCGGTTTTTCATTAAATCCAGCCTTTTTCGGCGCGTTTCACTTAAAGCCAACTTTGGAAACATAGCTACGCATTCCTTGTTCGAAATATACTTTTTTCAGATAATTACGAATTTTTCAATATTTTGAAATTCTGTCAAAATCTGACCTTGTAGAAACGAAACAAAATCTATGCATAGCGTAATGAGGATTAAATTTAAAATATTAAATCAACGAAAAAAATCCCGATAAAGTAATTTTCCTGAGAGCCTTTTTCAGTATTAGTCACATGACCAAGGGCCTGATGACGTCATCATTGGTGTTACTGGTCATAAAAAAGTTAAAACACATGAAATAACTCTGAACTAACTAAAAAATGATGAGGTTATATGAAAATAATTTTTTTTCACCAACGGCTCGAAACGATCAGCCAAATGAGCTAATCAAAATGCATGAACAAGGTATGGTGACCACTCTAAATGCAATGATAAGTATTATATTAGTATGTCCAAAGGACATTTACCTGTCAAAAGTAGAATTTCCCCAACTTATTTTAACTTTGGTTATTTTGCCTTTGTAACAATACGAATCTCAAGATTGTAGTGGTTTTACAACATAGGCGAGACCCTAAAATATAACTTTTGAAGATGTTTGGATAAAGCAAAGGTTTGCAGCATCCGTGAGTTCATGTGCCCATAATTTTGTCTTTCAAAATTGAGTTTATAGCATTGCAGATAATTCAAGTCAATTAATTTAAGGTCAAAAGTCAGATTGTTTTTGTTCGCCCGTGTGTAGAAAGATCTATAGGATTCCAGTTGATAGTGGTATTGGTGATTATACCTGCTCATGAAAACACTAGTTGTATAAATTCCAGTCTAGCGATAAATAAAGAAAAAAGATTTCTAGTCTTCTTTGTCATAACTGAATTATGTTACTGAGTACGAGGTCCGTGTTGGTAAAACATTGGTCGAGTTCTTCACCTTGCAATGTTCTGACGAGATCGATAG